GACTCTTCCTCTCTCAGGGGTATACATCTTTTTTCTGACCAGGTTCATTGCTTCTATGGGAAGCACGGCTTATCTACTTTCTGCTGTGTTCCTCTGACCTTGTCTTAAGGCAGTGATAGGATGGCAGAGACTGTGTGGAATTGTCCAAATGGCTTTTACTTCACCGCCAGCCAATTTCTCATTCTGTAGATACTGAGCTCCTGACTTTAATGTTTGTTCGTGTCGTGACAGTTTCACAGCAGTTATTCATATAGCATGCTCCCATCTGGGAAACCACCAGGAGAGCTTCCTTTGGGGTGTATCCTTTGACTAAACACAAATATGACAGAGGGTTATCATCCTGCTCTCTTCTAAATCTTTGATCCTGGTTTTAGTGTGATCTTTTTTTGGCCCTGTGATAATGCTGTCAGGGAGATGAAGAGATCAGCATCTTCCTTAATTTTGACATGAAGCAAAGAGTAGCATCAGTAATTACACAGTTAGGACCCACTCAGTCTTGGTTCATATGGAGAGAAGGGGATGTTTTAGGCTTTCCCTTCTAGGATTAAAGAGTAACCTCATAGTCAAATCCCAAGAAACTGCTAACTGTAGGCACCACCAAGAGGACAAAGATAGTGTTTCATTCCAGAATTCTGCAGGAAAACAGAAACAAAATGCTTCATTTCTGAAGCCCAGGGTTTTTGAGTAGAATAGAGAATAAAGTTTAGGTTTCAAGATGATAAGGAAGCATCATGCCAAGGGGAGCTTTGTATTTGAGATAACTCGGGGCTTGGTTGCCATCTTCAGCAAGTGACATCATGGTTTTGCTTTTTAGTGACCTCATAAAACTCTGACCTCCTCACACAGAAACCGCTGCTGTTTTGGCTATTTGTTTCTCAATTCAGTTTGGCCTCTTTGGAAATGGTGTTACATTAACTGAACCACTATTTTGCAATTAGAGAAATTTAAAAAAAATCCAATTCACCCTGCTTGCAAGAGTTAGGGAAAACATCACACAGTAGTAGGATTTGGAGGAGGAAAATAGAACACAACAAGATTGTTTAAATATTTTCTCACCTCCCTTTTTTCTAGCCCAGTGCATTCTTTTTATTTTAACCGTATAATGTATTAATTTTGTAAGACATTTTGTAAGTCAGGAAAATACTCCATTGTACCATTATTACTGAAGGAGGAACTGTAATTTATATAATATTTAATATAATATTTAACATATCAATAAGGTCAAACATGTTTGATTGGAATACTGCCCGAAAAAAAGTTGTCTCTGTCTTGTCCACATAAAAGCATATAACTAACTTCTGTCTGGATCTTTTGTCTCACCTATTATCTGTCTGTATGTCTATCTATCTATCTATCTATCTATCTATCTATCTATCTATCTATCTATCTATCTTAATGTATGTGTTTATCACAAATAATTTCAGTTTGAAACTTATCTGCTTTTCTCTAACATTATAATGAAACTTGTCTCGGAGGTCTCTATTTAGGCACAATTTCAATATTCAAAGAAAAGCATCTGAATTTATCGAGATATCACATCTTGTCAGTGAGGATCAGAGAGCATTCCCTTCCATAATCTTAAAATGGTGTTGGACTTTTGAACACTTAAGTTGTTTTCTTCAAGTATTTAATTGACTTGAGCCAACCATTCTTCTCATTTCTAGTAATATACATCTTATCTTAAGTAGGGATATAAAATTTCATTCTGGAGGCTTCTGGAAATGTAGAGTTCCATTTACTGCTGTAAAATATTCTTCCCAACGTATCTTGGGAATTTTCAGTTTACATTATTTAACTCACTTGGAGAAGTGACATAACGTAATAACCTGTGATTAAAATGTAACATATTATAAATGAAGAAAGCGTTGTTAACTATCGACTTCCTCCTATTTATATTATTGAACTACTAAATGCTTCCATTTCACTTTATACTAGGATCTCCATGCATCAGAGATCATATTTATATTATTGTATTATTAATGCATGACAGGAAGAGTGAGCGGCAGCAAGCACGGAGGAAATAGCAAGTGAAGTACACGAATGAAGGAACTGAAGGTGTGATTTAGCATACGGGTGAATTTGTGAACGAATGTAACAGGTGAATAATTCCCCTGATGCTCTTTCATTTTTCACACCTCGTCTTCTCTCCACAAACTGCTTGTTGCATTAAGCCATGAAGCAGCATCTCTCTTGGTTAAACACAGTACCAACATTTATTTCTAGTGTAAGCCGGGTGCGGTGGCACATGCTTTAATCCCAGCGCTCAGTGGGCAGAAGCAGAGGTAGGTGGAGATCTTAAATTTGGGGTCAGTTTGGCCTGTACATGGAGTTGCAGGCCAGGCAGAGTCACGCGGTGAGACTCTGTCTCATAAAAGCATTCATGCTTTCTCTTCAGACCCTCCTTTGGTTATCCTGTTCATTGCCAGAAATGACAATCTTAAGGTTAGACAGAACATTTCACTTAAACATTAAGTTTCATTACTGAGTTTGGAACCCATTTTAAAGCAAAGTTTGTCCTTCTATTGAGATACTTGAACACTATTAGTATTCTCAGACTTCCTGTCATAGATACTGTGATCACCTGGTTCTAAATCATCCTGGTTTCTTGTTTGTTTCCCTCAGTTTTCTTCTTCCTCGTCTATAACTCTACCTTGGTCATCCTACTCATCCCCAAGCTTTGATACTTACCAAGACACTTATTTCCATGTGGGCTATCTTCAAACGTTTAGACATAGGATTATTATTTGTTTCTTTGTTTTACTGCGATGTGTGTGTGTGTGTGTGTGTGTGTGTGTGTGTGTGTGTGTGTATGATCGTGTATGTGATAAGAACTATTGATTTTCCTGCCTTTATCTTATAAGCGTTTGGATAAAAGACATTAGTCACACTACCTTACCAGACATGGTTTTAATCAACATCATAAACGATGCCTCTCCTTTTGAAGATACTAGTTGAGTGGGGAACTCAAACTCCTTATCTCTTTACATCCCAGGCTAAATAAAATATGAGGAAACAGCAATTGCTGGTCCAAAAAGGATGCTGGTACCTAATTTATAGTTTTCTTCAGGAATGAGGATTATTGAAGTAGAAGGGTCAAGGACATAAATCAGACTTCAAGATGAGAGGGAGAGTGTTAGACCAAAACACTAGGATATATGTGAAGATATAAAATGATGGCGCCTGAAAAGGAAGAGGGGGTTGTATTTTGAAACCTGAACAGGAGCTTCATTAGAACAAGAGGGATGGGGTTAGGTGGGTGTTGGAATTATGGGGACGTCATACTGATGCTTATGAAACAGAATTCCGACTTTTATGTGGATACAATAAGAGAAATATGGTTGTTTAACAATAGGTTCCTCAGTATGCACCGCTCTCATTACGGGGAATATGCGTGTGAAGAGCCGGGTACACATTCCTCTGTACCAACATGCTTTAAGTCTCTGTTATCCTTCCACCGGGATGGATGCCAGTCATCATTACTTATTCCAGCCTTATTTTCCTTTTTTTTCTCATAATATAATGAAGAGAATGTTGTTAAACTATTTGTCTGTCCAAAAAGGATACTAGGAGTGTTAGAAGGGGATCCATACCTTGATATATTTTTGTTGGAAAAATTGACAGAGACCTCATCAATGTGAATCCGCATCGGGTTTATTCTCTTTTATTTAACAGATAATCTGCTTCACCCATTATTGCTGATCCCCTGGTCCTTTGTAGGATTTGATTTTCCACTTAATGTCTATTTTACGTCTGTACTTCTGGCATCTCAATGATGCCCTTAACTTGATTATTGGACGTTGTTATATTAGTGTTATATTTCAGTGTCTGAAATTGACTTTTATTCCTTTTTGCACACCATTAGCATACTGATTTAGAACAAACTGAGAAAGCAAGGATATTTGCATGGCGATTTAGAAAGATCAGTGTAGTAAAGTCATTTGAAAGAGCCTAGGGGTCTTATCGCCTTGGCCTGCTGCCTTTAAACAGATTAAATGATGAACGCTAATGGTCAGGGTTGCCAAGATAGCAGTGAGTCAGCGTTCTACAGCTTTTGCTGTTGCCTTGCATTTTGTGAGTGCTAAGTGCTTTTCCCATGCATTTTCTGCAATTACATAATGTCTTGAAATATTAGCATATTCCTTTTTTTTTAAAGAGAGAACTAAAAGTCATAGTATGAGGGAAGTTGAGCTTACCGTGGGGTGACTGAACGTGGTAGAAAAGGGGAGTGCCAGCAACGATGCCCACAGAGGGAAAACAGGTGCTCCCACTTCAATTAACATTTTCTGATACATGTGGGAATAAAATTCGGTGTCATGTATTCCTGATGTTGGGACAACCTTGTGACCCCATTACCCCCGTCTCATCAGTTTGGCCCTGAAAACATCGTGTGGGCCATCTCTTTTCAAATAACACTAATTTGATGGTAGAAAGGAAAGAATGCAGTATGGGATTGGTCATATAGAAAAGAAACACAGAACCTTGTATTTTGTATGCTCCATGTTTTCATGCGTTCAGTGGAGTTATAAAATATACAGGGCTCAGTGGTCCTGAAAAGAAAGAAGAGCATTCAGTGAAAGGCAGCTTCAAAGAGGGAGAGGAATAAAAATGATAAAAATGAGGTCATATACTAAGTACCTAAATGAAAATATTCCATTATGCAGACAAAGGTGAAAACTGATATATTGATACTTTGCAAAAAATATTTTTTTACAATAGAAGTGTTGTTCTTATATAATTTACTTTTCCACTGATATAGTGTGCTTATTAGTATTTTGATATTGTGTAAGTGCTAAAAAAACTATAATAATTCTTAAATAATTGTATTATTTTATGGTACTCTACTTGCCCTCAAATTAAACATGGTCTTCCCAGCAAATTAATGGTCTGCATTTGAATGAGAAAATGTATCATTTTAGTGCAATGTAAAATATTAATAGCTATTATTGATTGTTTTTATTATTTTATTCATAGTAATTTTATCTTTCCTGTGTTTGTATAAGGTTGCCGTTACCACCTGGGGCTTTTTCGGGACTCTGGAAGAATCAGGAAGCTTTCAAACATTTATACTTTGAGAAATTTCCCGTGAGAACTTTAATATACTTAAATTTTCTGTGCTTGCTATCTTTCTTTTTGGGGGGGGTGGTAATTTAAGCAACATGCTTCTAGGATCATGGATCAAACAGAACTCTTCAAGTTTATACAAACCAGCCTCCAGGTACAAGGATAACAGTGACCAAGTCAGAATTATCCAAACCAGTCATTTGGATGATTACTGTCATTCTCTACACACAGGGAATTTTCATTCACTCTTCCTAACTATAAGTATCAGAATATTTAAAAATTAAATCCAGTAACATTGGGCTCCAATAATTTTGGACATTTTACTGGACTCTTCTGTACGGACTCAGAGCAAGCAGCTATTCAGAGCTAGAAAGTCATTAATTAGGACAACTCACTACACTTAGTTAATGAGTGAAGTCTAATGTATTTTCCATCCCGTTATCTAGCTTTGGCAGCCTTTCTTAATCTTTTATTTTAAAATACCATTTAAAAATAAGTAAATTTACACATTAGAGACAGTATCCATAAAGCCCAGTTTCTCACTCCTGTGACCCAGGTGACCAAGCTTGGCTTCCTGGGTGTTAGTTTGTCATTCATCTGTGTCCTGCCTTCATGGCAACATGGTGAGAGTACACAGCAGCATCCTGCCCTCCCCTCTTCTTTATTATGTGCCAGGGTAAAGTAAAGGAATGATGAGAATTTCATAAAAGCCATGAGTCCGAGTATTTAGCATTCTGACTTAATTGTATGGGAGTGAAAGATGGATGCTCTACTCAACCAGAAAAATGACAAGGATTGAGTAGCTTTCTTTAGAAAGACATCTCAGAGACAAGTGACCTCAGCAGCCAAGATTAAACATTCTCCTGATCAAGTGTGGCAGAAATATTTGTCATTTGACTTGACTCCAGTCAACCAATTCAGTCTATATGATGGGCCACAGGTAATTCATCAGAGTACGGATACAATTCATTTTCACCTAATGATGGCAAGTGATATGCACATGGGGTTTCAGCAGGATTGCCTTTAAGATCAGAAGTTTCTTCTAAGTTCCAGTGTATGGCTAAACTGCATGAGGTACCTTGACATTTGCCTTACTTCCTGACCTCACCTCTTTTGTCCTCTCCAGGCTTAATAAAAGCATGGGCCAAACAACTTAATCCAGCTCATGCAGGTTAGAAGAGAAAGGGTTGAGCCTAGGACCAACGTAGCCTGCCCTTCCCTGTTACTCCAAGTGGCCTCTCATAAATACTGCACACAGGAAGAATTGCAGTTCCTGAGGGTGTGTGTCTACACCCGCCCTCCACCATACACCCCATTTTGTCGAACTTGTTGAAGTCTGGTAAAAAAGGACTGCATTTACTCATTTCAGAGAGAACCACAGCAAGTATTAGAAAGGTTAACAGATACAGAAGTCATTTATTTGGATTTGGTTTAGAGATTAGGCTTAAATACAAGTGTCAAATAAATTAGACATATTAAAGACAATAATATGTAATTTTCTTTGTACTTTTTTCTCAATTCTTTTTTCTATTGTGATTTCTAAACAAAGGTAAATTACTTAGAGATTGGTGAAATATTATATGTCATAATGCTTATTAAATTTCACTGAGGCCTGAGTTCAATCATAATCAAAGTCAGTAAACACGTGATTTTTTCTATTATTTTTATAGAAAGTTTTTGAAATAGATACAACTTGAAATCTTTATTAAAAATTCTCTTGGTATACCAAAACATATCAGAAATATTTAGCCATAACTTCTCCATTAAAGAAAGTGTTTTGGTTCACAAATTTTATAATTCCAAGTTCAAATACATGACTTGAACATAATAAGGACAGTTTAAATTATTCCTGGTTGTTAACTGAGCAAAAATATCTAGTTAGGATTCAAAACAAAAAGCAATTTAACCTCAAAGCTTGTGGAAATAGTCAAGTGCTCATAATAAATCAATTTATGTCCCCTTTTATACTTTAACAAGCGTTGAAAAATGATCATGCTGTTGCCTACCACTGCATGCTAACTAAATCTATGCATTCTTGCTTTCAGGGATACTATGACACTATGGATGCTGGCTACATGGATGAGGAAGGTTACCTATATGTTATGTCCCGGGTGGATGATGTAATAAATGTTGCAGGCCACAGGATTTCTGCAGGTGCTATTGAAGAGGTATTGATGAATACTGATGTTCTATACAAAGTAGTGTCAATGAGCCATGATGAACTGCTGAAATACTGAGGTTCAGTCATATGGAAACTGACCACACCTTCAGTTATGAGAAAAGCTAGGTTCTTCTCTCTCCAACCCCTACATCTCTCTGTCTTTCTGCCTCTTCCGCTTGTGTGGATTTTTATTTTATCCACACTTGACTCTTTCCTTCCTACATGTTTGGTGAGACATTACAAGCATTTGTACATACTTGTTCCCTCTGCAAATGCCTCTGTACATTTGCTGCCTGCTACCAGATGCTTACCCATCTTTAGCATCACAGTATAGTACTCCTTCATAATCAACCTTGCTTTTAGTCCTCAAGTTATTTAAATTTTTTTGTTTTGCTCTCAATTCCTGGAATTTTTTCAGTGTAATTTATACAAGCATCTGCAATTGTTTTTCTCTATTTAAATTTTTAATGAAATCAGGTAACACTATTGCATTGTACAAACTCTGAGTTTTTATATGTATATAGATTCTTGTATACATCATCAGAAGAAAGAATATAAGTATTTCAACATTCAATAATTCACATGAATTATTTAATATCACTTTTATATTCTGACCCTCATAATTCTTGGCAACCCTGGATTTTTCTTTGCTACTAACATACAATTTTTATAAGTAACATAAATACAGTTTTGCAACCTTTTGGGACTAGAGTTTTTATTCTAATATAATGGATTGGTTATTTATTGGAGTTTCTTTGAACATCCATGATTTTTGGTCCTTTGACATTCTGGTGTAGAATTACACTGTTAGATGCTCTGATGCATTTATGTATCTATTAATCCATTGGACAAATGGATTGTTCTAATGTGGACAATTTTATGAAATAGTATTTTGTTACATGCATTCAATTTCAGGTTTTTTTACATATAGTTAACAAAACATAAAATAGTACTTAAAATTTTAGAAAAGTCACAATATTTACATTTACTAGCAATTAGTATTTGTAAACTACTTCAAGAATATACCCTACCTTCAACAGCCTTTTCATTGCTATAGGCTGTATACTTACAGTATATTTTCTAGGTAGTATGAGAGTACCTATGTATGCTTATAATAACCTGTGAAACTCTTCCTTTTCCCCACTGAATAATCTTAGCTTATCTGCCACAAATCAACTGATGCTATTCGAGTAGTCTATTTTTAGCTCAGCTGTTTCATTAGGCTAGGAGACATTATTTTGTGTTCCCACTGACAACGTTTGGCAATTATTTCTTCTTATCATTTACAGACCTTGGTATTGTTACTCATCTTTAAACCATTAAAATAGATGGATAATGATACTTCATTATGTTATATTTGGATTGAGGTAATCATTAACAATGTTGAACAGATTTAAGTACTTATTTGTCATATATATATATATATATATATATATATATATATATATATTGATGGAATGTCTGAAAAATATGCCTGTTGGTTTGAAATGTCTTGATCGGTGCTTCAGTAATATTGTTTTACCAGTATGATTTTCCTTTTCCCCGCTAAATAATCTTAGCTTATCTGCCACAAATCAGCCGATGCTATCCGAATGGTCTGTTTTCAGCTCACTTGTTTCATTAGTCAAGGAATCTGCCATTTCTCCAGGACCAGTCTGGATTGGTATTGTAGCCCCGAGGAGGATTTTTAAAGTCAAGTAGTATGTTCCCTGCTTTTGCTACTCTTTCTCAATATCATCTTAGCTTCTCTGGCTATTCTACTTTTATAGACATGATGAGTTTTTCTGCAGCTACAATGAATCCATTCACCAATGTTGATTGCTACAGTAAAACCCATATATATTACATTACAGATTGCCTTGGGAGAGTTTATATCTGAATGACTTTGACCTTCTAATCCATAAGTGTTATATCCTTCCTCATTGCTGTAGATATTCTTTGATTTTTTTTCATAATGTGTTTTGTAAACATATTTTGGCAGATCCGTTGTCAAGCATTTGATGTTTAGCTGTTGAAGATAGGGTATATTCTTTAAGTAGTTTACAAATACTAATTGCTAGTAAATGTAAATATTTTGACTTTTCTAAAATTTTAAGTACCAAGCTATTTTTGCTAAATTTATGTAACTAATTCTAAATATTTTTTTAACCTTTAGGTATCTTGATATAGTGTATGTACAATCACACTATCTGAATGTAGTTTCTTTTCTCTTTTTAAATCTGAAGGTAATTCTTATTTTTATGGGCTTTTTGAACTAGATAAAATTTCTTATGTGATACCATTGAGAATGGCGAAAGTCAACAGGATGGCTAGAAGGGTTCTAGAATTGATCATTTCCATTTCTGCATTAGATATGATGTAATCCCTCCAAGTTAAGCTGTGTCAAGGCAGTATTTTGGTGTTTGTTTTGGCCTTTTTTAATATAATTTTTAAACATATTTTTGTATTTTTTTTATAATGTGGAGCTTACATAGAAGAACCTGCAGACTGTCCCGAAACCTTCCAATGTAGTGCTTTTCCTCATTTCATACCTAAAATGTGAGGAGATTTATTTATTTATTTATTTATTTATTTATTTATTTATTTATTTATTATTTTTATTGAGCTCTACATTTTTCTGTCTCTGGCATTCGCCTTTACGCTCAGCTACACAACACAGAAGTTCTGAGGGGAGGGTTCTCGGTAAAATTTTCAGTTCTCAGACCCCTACAGTTCATTTCATGTCTTTCTACATCTGCACTTGGTCCGGCAGAACTTGTTCCAGGAAGGTGTGATTGCCTTTGTCCCCTTCTTACCTTTCCTTTTCCTGCAGTGACTTATTCTTGGGCTCCCACTCTTCAACATATCCAAAAAAATTATTGATTTCTTTACTTTGTCTCATGACTGGTTGCCAGGATAGAGTACTGCCTTTAAAGCGAATGTGGAATCCAGATATCAAGCCTTTATTCACTGTTGCTCTCATTTGCCTTTAATTGGTTTGTATATGATAAACTGACATTTCGCTTGGTCGTTCTATTACTTGGGTTCATTCCACAGTATCCTCATGTATAATATTCACCGGGAGAGAAGAGGTAAGGGTCTTTATGAATTCTGGCATGTCCTGAGGTAGAGCAGGGTGAGTCAGCAGAGATCCATTCTTGGTTTTAATAGGTCCTGATTGGGAATGCAATGAACCGTGAGCCTTTTAGTGTTTTTAGTGTGGAGTGGAGAGACTCCTGTTCTCCCTCCCACAGGGTATTCTGTTTCTCATGAGAAGAAAAAGGTTCAGCTTAGTTGATGTACAATTGGTGTAATGTGGAGATTCTGGGAGTCAGGAACTAGTCCTGCTTTTTTTTTTTGTAGTATTGATATGGAGTGGGGAAGATAAGGCCCCCTTCAAGGCTTCTTCCTCTGTTTCTTCACTTGGGCCTCTGCCAAGGCTTAGCAGTTTTTTCTTGGATCTTTTTCTGTATATACTTATTGGAAGTTCCACATTTGATAATATGTATTTATGTGGACATATAATATTTATTTCCATATATATCGGGAAATATATGTATATATGCATGTATGTGTATGCTTGGAAAAAATAGGAAATAGAAGGAGTAAGGAGTGTAGATAGGGGTAATGGGAAAGTATAGGGAAGTAAAAATAAGCAAAGTATATATGATGACCATTGAAAATGTCCCTATATGCCTATCTCTGCATATAATGAATAACGGCAATAAAATTTAAAAATTGAAAAAAAAACTGATAGCTTTGAAAAAACTGATAGTTACTTAATTTTGCCATTTTTACAGAAGAGTCTATGACTGAGAAAGGTGTTATGAAACTTCTGGTAGGTATTTTAGCTGATAAAAAGTCACTGTAATAAGTCTCATTAGAAAAGATAAAGTAGATCTAGTTATTTAATTTTTTTATTCCTATAGGAGAACTCCAGAATAGTTCCTATACTGCGTGGAATAAACCCAGAAAAATTCAATGAAGGAAAAACTAAAGCTAGCATGATTAACAATTCAGTGTATCAGGATCCAAAGATTCCAAAGTCCCATTTTTCTCCTTTTAATTGGCAGGTTCATCTTCTTTAATGGCTATGCCTGACTTCAGGTCAAACTAAACAACTTAATTTTTCTTGTAATGATGACCTTATTTTTTTTATCTTTTTTTAAATGACATCTTTAGTGTCAGTCAGTGTGATGTTCTTGAATAAAAAATCACAAACTGTCTTAAAATGCATGTCCATCATGTGCTATTATAATATCTTGCTATTAAATAACAACATTTTTGTCATAACTTGAAATGGAAATTTTTGCTTCATGTATTTCAAAGTGCTGGCAAATGCTGGTTCCGCTTGTATGAACTTTTAATTTCTTGCCTCTAGAAGATTAATGCCCAAATCCATATGCTGTTCTTGGAGCCTTGCTAATCAAACTATGAAGGTGATGTTTGCACAGCCCTTATCAGTCAGAGTTCTTAGTTCCCTTACTTTTAGGATGAAAACTGTTGTCATAGTCAATTATATGGTTATATGTTACGGATTTTTATGGTCTACTGACATCCTCCTCATTGTGTAGCAGAATTCAGGCAAGCTCAAATGAGCAGAGAAAGTAGAAAAATGAAGAAAGCAGACCTTACTTGTTGATTTTCAACAGAAATATTGTTACAGGGTCTTAGACTATTTCTTAGCCCTTGAATCTAACATGTCTCTTAATATAAATAAATGATTACTTATTATTGAATATTTATGCTTAATAAGAAACTTTATTTCACATTTGGCTTGTTTTCCCTTTATTTGGAACATCTGTGTAATCACTTACTTATAGGCATGTCCCTGTTTCCCATTAAATATCTTAGAAAATTAATATACAACATGTGCGTGCAATGTTCTCTCTAATATTTTTACTCTCTGTAATTGATATGCCCAACCTGATGAGCAAGGCTGGAATGTTGATGCGTCTAGAAGAAGATCATATGTGATATGTTTTAGTGAGAGGTGACTTATAACGCACTCTATATCACATGACTTTT